TTTGAAAAAAATCTCATTTCATTTTAGCAAAGGAAAATACGAGAGGCTTTTAGATAACATGAGCCAACCTATTCAGTGCATTATGGGTGCTCTTTAAAGTGTCCTCCATGGGGATTAACTCAAATCACTGGGTTCAGCCCTTCTGTCATTGGGTACATTGCAGAACTGGAAGGTAAAGATTGTGCGTGCCCTCGGTCTATGGAACGCCTGTCTGACTTTACTAAGTACAAGTCACTGCCTCAACCCTAGACACCCTGTATCCACCCCATTGATAACTGCGATCACGAGCTGGCCTAAAGGGGCCTCGGGAATATATTTTGCTTTGCCTGTGCAGACTTGGCTCTCAGAGACTTAGAAATATTCGAATTAGTGGTCTTTACTGGCATAGAGCGTAAGGCATTTGACTGTTAACCAGAAGGCTAGCTGTTCAAACCCACCAGCTACTCCTCGGAAGGAAGGTTGAGCAATCTACTTCTATAGTGATGCTGCCTCAGAAACCCAAGGAGGAGATGCTATGAGTCGGATCCGACTTGACGGCAGTGCATTGTGTTTGTGTTTGGCCTGTATTTAAAGCTTAGGAGGGTCGATCTAAGAAGTCTCCATGTCTGTCTTCTCTTACTAAAAATCAGATTATTCAGCAGCCTTTTGATACAGCATTGCAGCAGTCCTTTAGAGCTGCATATTAGTGGCTGCAACAGATGATGTCCTCCCTAGTTGCCCTGCTCCTCACCATCCTCAACTGTTTGCTTGCTACTCTCCATTCCCTTTACCCATTGTGTTTCTTGACACATGACTGGCTTCTCTCATTTCCGGCCCCTTCCTCATGTCTGTAGGCAAGTGAGTTTGCAACCCCTAATTCACACCTTTCTGCATTATCCAACTTCATCCACCTCAGCCGTCAGTCCCATCTATCTTGCCCCCTTTAGCAACCTGAACTCTTCAGTCACTGGCCCCTGTACAGTCAATGTAATCCCCGTCTTAGAATCACATTTCATCTCTTTGCTTTTCTCTCATATCCCTGGGATAACTGTCCTCTAAGGTTGTTCTCTCAGAATACTCAGAGGAGGAAAAATCACCTTCTTAATCTTATTCTAAATTTTGCAGAGTGTGTAGTTCATCTTCCTTGTTGGAGAGTATGCTATTTTAGGACATGATGCCGGCCTGGTGAATTTTTAACATACTCTGTGTTGCCATAAAAGTAACATCCATTCAGGAAACACTTGATGAGTGAACAAAGGAAAATGATAACAATAATAAAACAACAAACAATGTTTTGTAGGGAGGAAGTGTGAAGCATATTTAGGCAAAAATCTGAATCAAGTAAGGATTACACTTATTTTCAAGAATGCAAGGATTATACTTACATAACTCCCTTGACCACGCATCTTCCTGGTTCTAGCTCAAGAAGCCCTAACCACTGTGCAGTACCACACAGTACTACAGAAAGAACAGGATTGCTGTTACAGTCTGAAACTGTTAGAGTAGATAAAGTCTTTGATAGTACTACAGCATGTCGCTTCATCCCCATCCAGTGCAAGTACCAAATACAGACAGTTCCTGTGACTCAAATTTTATGAGAGGCTGACGTCCATAGTAAAGAATAATTAGGACAGTTGACTGCTGACCAGAAGACTGGTGGTTTAAACCCACCAGCCACTCCTCAGAAGGAAGATTGGGCGATCTACTTCTGAAGTGATACCGCCTCAGAAACCCAAGGAGGGGTTGCTATGAGTCGAATCCGACTCGAGGGCAGTGAGTTTGGTTTTTCTATTCCAGGCACTGATAGGACTGATACTATGCTGTGGCTGTGAAATTTCAGGTGGATAATTCAAATATGTTCACGTCCTCCTGGACACTAACTAATGTCGTCACCATCACCAGTTGTCATGGAGTCAATCCTGACTCATGGTGACTCCATGTCTGTCAGAGTAGAACTGTGCTCCAAAGGGTTTAATAACGTCTAGTTATCTGTACCTAGATTTTTAGGCCTTTCTTCCAGTGCACGTCTGGGATGGACCCAACTCCCCAGCCTTTGGGTTAGCAACTGAGCACATTCACCATTTGCACCAGGCAGAATATATTTCATACACAAAATAAACACATCTCGTCTGGAAATATAATTGCTTAGTTATCCAACAATGCTTTCTATTCTTTAACCAATATCATAAGTAGATCCTCATGTACAAAGTGCATGATGTAACATGAAGCCATAAATACTCAATAAATATTTAATAAAATGGAATGGATAATAGTATGTTAAAGTATTAAATTGAATTATCAAATTATCTGTAGAATAATATATTCTTTATGCCACTTTTCAAGGTCGTTGTCCTGCACATGTGAGGTGACAGGAGGTTTTCTCTGTATTTATAGAATGACCAACAAATGTTAATATCTGAAATTTCTAACTTTTTTTTTTTTTTTTAATCATTCTACAGCACTCTGAACAATAACAACATTACTAGACTTTCTGTGGCAAGTTTCAACCATATGCCTAAACTTAGGACTTTGTAAGTAGTCACAATGTATGTAAAGGTGAATTGTGTTATTTTTAATAAGCCAGCAACAAGACCACTTGTTGATAAAGAAGTTGACAAAGAAAAGCACTACCTTTTTTTATTTTAATTCTAGATATGATACGTGAGTAAATTACCAACTATTTGGAACTTGAAAGATTTTTAAATGATATACATTATGGGGAATTTAGAGAGAAATGTTTACTTTGAGCTATTGTGAGGGTCACGTTTCATTAAGAAATGGAAGACTTCTTGATTGGCTGTCATAAATGATAAATGAGAAATCTTTATGATTTTATTACTGTACTGCCAGCAGGCCTAATATAGCTAAACTGGTTCTCCAACATTCTTTGTGAGATAAAATTAGGCCATCAACTTCTAGTGCTTCTGTAATTAAAGATGTGTCAGTATCTACTTAAAAAATGTCTTTTCAAGGGTTACTGATGAACATAAAAATATTTTCAGTAAATAAAAATGATTTTCTGTTAAAATATTAGTTACAGATTATTTTTCTTTTGGAGAAAAATTAATCCTTAAAACCCAGGTGGGGTGTTTGGGTATAGTCTTTTCAAAAGGTAGATCTCATTTCAGCTAATCTCAGAGTCACATTGACCTGAAAAAAATATTTATGAGAAATAGTTTGAAATATAGCCAAAACATCAGATTTTGAAGAGAAAAAAAGTTTCACCCTAGGGTAACTATATTTTGATTGGATTTTCAAAATATTTGTGATTTTGTAATGACTTATAACTGGGAAAACATTACATTTATTTTCTTTCTTGAATACAAAGTCAATTGAATTACCAGCCTTTTAATGAATTAGATAATAAAAGTCTTATGGGGTTTTGCTTTGTTTTGTTTTGTTTTTTGCGTCACTAAAACATAACTCTGTATGTGGTAACACATCATTATAATTTCTGTGGAATATGATTTAGCGAAATGAAATAATTCTAAAAGTATCCAAACATAACTAAATTTTGTTTTCTTGGGGCTATCAGACTGAGACTAATCGGACCGAATTAATAGCCCAGGTCACTCAAACTGTATTTAACTAAATCAGTCTCTTATTAACTTTTCTAGTTTTCCTCTTCAAAACAAATTGATCAAGCTTTCAATCCTTACAGAAATAAAGTAACTGTAGCTGTGAAAACATTCAGCATTTGCATTTTAGTGCCCTTTATTTTCTTATAGAAACCCACCACAGTTTGTCTGCTAGCCAGGTTTTTAAATTCTGTGCTTTTCTTATTTCAGATTTGTGCACACAGATTTGAATCTCTGTAATGTGCACGGATTGAGACTGAAATATTTAGAGACCAATGATGCAATGCGTGCAGTGTGCTACTGTGACTTCCACAGGATGGCACCCTGAATTCTAACCCCTTTGTGACCAAATTATTTTGTTTGTAATTTTGTGGTGATGTAATGTCTTGTCATTAACAGAGTGCATGCTGAATCAGTGAGTGTTGCTAATCTTTTGTTGTGCATGATGGATTGTTATAAATATTATGTGGTACACATGTGTACCTTTCCACCTATGAAATAGCATAGGTGGAACAGGGTAACACATAAAGGTGCCCTGTACAGGCTGCACATAATTTTTCAGAAGCCTGAAAGGTGAAAAATTTTAAGTGGTCCTTATCTGTACCTGGGGTCATGAAGTAGTACATCAAGGACATGTGCTTACACTGTAGCTCGCCTTATAGTCACTTAAATATTACCTAATGTTGAAAACTCTACCTTCCCAGTAATGGAAAGGAGATAGTAAATGCACTCACAAGCCTTACTTCACTGCCACAAGCCCAAAGAGGAATAAGTTTTACAAAATCTCATCCTTGGGATGAACCACCTCGTACCTCTGTCCACAGCAACGTGGTGCCCACACACTTCTTTCCAACACCAACTTGTATTCTTATAAGTTGCACAAAAGCATGCCAAATAAATCCCAGGGGCAGAAAATGTAACTGGTACTTACATGTACCAATGGTCATGAAAGAGTTAAGGAAGCTAAGCAGAGGTCACCCAGCTTTTCCAAAATGTAGGCTCCTTAATTCTGTGACCTTCTTTATCATTGGTACAAGACTACCCCATCTCTACATCAGGCTCAAGGAGGATGTACGTTCCTTTGCTTTGGTTGGTTCATTATTCCATATTATCATTGCTACTTAAAAATTCCATTTTTATGGTCCAATTATATCTCTGGACTGAGTTCCACGTTTTAATATCCATTACTTTTATTGGGTTAGAAATGAACACATCAGCTAAAAAGGACTGAAATGATATGACTTTGTCATAGATGATTCTGGGAATGGCGCTTTGATTTATCACTTTGAGTGTCCTTTTCTTTGGTTTGAGAAAACATAAAAGCCAGTTTGAAGTAATTTACCTAATTTAGTGGATACATTTGTCTAATATTTTATTAATGGGGAAGTGCTATTTGCCACTTGGAAGGAATCCATGATCTTGTATGGATCTTGGCCAAAACGGAGGGGACTCACTTAATTCCTTCACTGCCTGCCATTTATGCCTTTTAATTTCAGGCCTAGCTCTTTGAGCATAGGTCCCCAAGAGCCAAAAGCAGCTAATCCCCTTTTCTGTGATTAAACAAAAAAAGAAGGAAATCAGAACAGGGGTGTGAAAGAAGTGTTTGATATTGAAGTATTATTCTGTCTTGTTCAGCAGAAAATGAAAGTGACCTGCTAAAAAATTATTGTAAGTGGTTTCTATAGAGACGAACCATTACAGAACGTACTGATGTTTCAAAGTGGGGACCACATGCTTCAGTAACTTGCCTCCTCTCTCGTGCCCCCCCAGCCCTGCCCCCACTTACCCTCCGAGTGCTGGCACTGTAGAGCGGTTTGCTTTGGACTTGGCTTTTCTCCTCATCCTTTTGAATGAGTTTAGGCAAAAGAATCCCTTGGTCACATTTAAGCTCCTGTGTATTTGCTTCCAAGTAAATGAAACGAGCTTGATTCTGTGGTTGCAAACCTCTTTAATTTTTTAGAAGACTCGATAGATTACAATTTTCTAAACGTTGTCTACTTGTATGCTAATAAATAAGGCTAGCCACTGTGATTTTTTGAGGTTTTGAAGTCACTGTTTTCTGTTTTATTGCTTTAAACTTTTCCCTCTCATCCAGTCGTCTCCATTCCAACAACTTGTACTGTGACTGCCACCTGGCCTGGCTCTCTGATTGGCTACGCCAGAGGCCTCGGGTTGGCCTCTACACCCAGTGTATGGGCCCCCACCACCTGCGTGGCCACAATGTAGCTGAGGTCCAGAAACGAGAATTTGTCTGCAGCGGTAAGGGAGAAAGAGATATTATGCTGTTTATCTCATTGTGTGCTGTTATATAATAAAAGTGAGAAGGATTTACACTTCAAATGTAGCCATGTTGTTCACTAACATGCGCAATCTTGTGTTAATTGTTGTTGTTGTTAATTACTCTGTGCAAATCCTCTTTTTAGTGATGGTACATTCTGAGACATATGCACGTGGTTGGCAATTAATGATTACTTGTCCTAAGTTATGATGACAGACTTTTTAGTTTTTACTCCAGGGGATGCATGGAAATTCCTAAATTAAGGTTCTATTTGCTACTCATCATTTCCCCTTGAAATAATAATTTTTAATCTACTTTTATATTAACAGAAAATTGACTCTCTAATCTTGGATCCGTGCTGTGAAATTCAAAATGTAATTCAACTCTAATTGCAAAGTGCCAAAATCCTCTTCTTAGTTCCATTCCATTTAAAACAAATAATTGAGTAGCTTTAGTACAAAAACC